CATTTATTTTCTTTCTATGAGCTCTTTTTCTTTTTTGGCAAATTTTCCTTTGTTAAGTTGTCAAACATTCAGCGAAATTCATATTGTATCGATCAAATGTCTCCATCGTTTTTTGCATTTTTTCTGCTTCGTTGTTGAAATTCGATGCGTCCTTCCCATTCCTTTTTGTTTTGTCCATACCCATCGGCTAGACAATTTAATCTAGCTCGAGCCGGTCGTCATCATTTAAATCTACCTCGACACGAACATCGTCATCAATTTTTTCTAGTTCGAGCTCGTCGTCATCATTATAATATTATTCTTTTGACGGATATTTAATCATTAGTTTATTCATTTTCATTGGTTTGAAATTTGGATAGCATAAAAAGCCATTGAAATTTGAATGAAAAGTTTCAAAGGCCACCTAAATACAAAAACATTAGAAAAAAAAAACTATTTAGCTGATGAAGTTTATAAATTTATAGTCATCTTTTTAAAAGATGTAGAACTCTAGTCTTTCTTATTACAAGTTTACAAGTTACATCAACGATGGATAGCATCTAATAAAGAAACCAAACCAAGCGGATGCTATTGCTACCCATTCAATAAGACGATACATATGAGTATGACTCATTAATGGCGTGTCAGTTTTCTGAGTGTATACGTGCCACGTGTATTATTACGGCTAAATATGGTATCTTCCGACCCTTTTCAATTTTTAGAGAAATTAAGTAACCGAGATAAGAAGCATGGCGATGGCGGAGGAGAGCATGGTGCAGTTGCAGAAGCAGGAGACAATAATGAAAGTACTGGTGGCCGTAGACGAGAGTGAAGGAAGTTTATATGCTCTCCAATGGGCTCTTCAAAACCTCTTTCTCCACAATACCCCAGCTCCGGCGGAGGTGGTAGAGGAGGCAGCGATGATGACGGTGGTTCATGTCCAACCTCCTTTCCAGCAGCCATTCACCGCCATCCCTGTTGGTCCCCGTACGTAGGACGTTCTCTGGTTTAATTAATACGAAATTAAGGTTTATGAGGTGAAAATGAAATGATATGTTTTGTTATTTACCACGTGATATATAGTTGTATTTGCGACGCCGGCAGTAATGGATTCGGTGAAAAAGGCACAAGAAGCATCCGCAGGTGAAGTTCTGTCTCGTGCCACGCAGCTATGCGAACAGCACAAGGTTAGGTTGGTGGAGGGAGGTTTTTAATTAGTTTTAGATTTGCATATATTAATTGATACGTTTAATTTTTTGGGATTAATTAAAAAGTCTTGTGGAATCGTGGTATAGACTAAAGCAAAGACGGTGTTGCTCAGAGGGAATCCAAAAGAAATAATAGTTGAAGCTGCGGAGGAGATGAATGTTGATCTTCTAGTTGTTGGGAGTAGAGGCCATGGCCAAATCAAAAGGTAATCAAGGTGTCTGTCAATTCGCACAAGAAAAGTGTATAATTAATTGTTGACGACTTCGAACCCATCGATTGGGTTTTTATTTTTAATTTTGCAGGGCGTTTTTGGGGAGTGTTAGCGATTATTGTGCGCATCACGCGAAATGTCCGGTTCTTATAGTACGGCCGCCTAAGCCAGCCAAGAAGTAACGCTTGGCTTGGAGTTGGCGAATGGCGATGTATTTCACTTGTTTAATAAAAGGGTAAATAGTTGGCATGAAATAAAAAAACAACAATTGAATATTGTGTGTTTCAAGTTACTATCTCTGAATGTATTGTGATGCAAAGTGATCAATGTAACCTTCTGGATTGGATTCTATTTAGACTTGTTTCAATGCGATCCTTGAAGTAGTCGATAGCACACACTCATCCATGCATGAAATAGTAGTGATAAGGGTAATCTGGATTGATAATTGTATGCAACCATTAATGGTATAAGAAGGTTCAATATAGCATTGCTTGTAGCCAACAAGGTAACTATGTACCAAAAATGAACTCAACCCATAGCTCTCTCTCCAGCTCTAAGCCTATATAGGATCGAGGTCCAAGATATTGAATACGCTCAAGATGTAGCATAGAACCATGGAAGAATATAAGACCTGAAGATCCTCTAAACTGAGAAGGCAATTGAAACAAAGAGACATTAATCAGTCGACAACAATGAAAAAATCATAGCTACATCTTGCTTTCAATGAAAAAACCGAGTCTCTATGGTTATGGAGACGGTTTTTAACACCATATTTTTAATATATAAGCAATATTTCAATTAATTTCACGAGAATTCAAAATTTTAAATCCTAAAAGCCATATTTTTAATGGGACGAACGTTTTAGAAGCATACGAACTTCATCTTTTGATTATTGTAAGCTATGTTCATTGCATTTTTTTAGTTTAATCTTGATTGTATTGGTGTTTTTGCCATCATCAGGTGTGACCAAGTTATTCGATTTAAACATTAGGGTTTTCGTTTGAAACTTTAGTTTGATCTATGTGAAACGAGTTACTTTTCAATGTTTTATTTATATATATTTTTGTGTTTAATTCCATATTCAACTCGACACACATTACATCATTAATAAACTTAATCAATTTGTTAGTTTTCTAATAAAGTTCGTAATTCTAAGTTTTAATATGAAACAAATAATAGTATTGTCTTTGTCTATGATTCCATTCTAGATTTATACGACATTCTGAATGTCGTTGGTCGCAGTTACGTTTCCATCAACATAATGGGGTATGTACATTAAATTTAGAACTGCTAGAATTTAGAGTAGCATATTAGGTTTAATCACAAACAATGTTTGGTTAAATTATACAAATGGAAGAATTATTCGAGTTGACCCATAACCAATGTTGATACAATTATTTTTTGAAATGAATCATTGAACCATATTCATTAACGATCATAAGTTGAACCATAGTTAAATGTTAAACACATTTACAGATGTTAATTTCAATATTGTGCAGTGAAATTGGCGAGTTTAAAAGTAGATGTACGTATGTTCTGCTCCATGTGACACTCCTGTATTGGAACTGCTGTGATGCCTGAAGATTACAGACAAAATAAGGTATTAATGACTTTCTTAAATTTTGAATCTTGAAGAGATTGAAACAGTAGAAGTGAATGGAGAAATGTGAAAATTACAGAAGATGAAACATGGATGAATTACATTAATACCCTTTTGCGAATTTAAGTAATTAATATCTGCAGGTGAGTTGATAGGCAAGATCCAAATTCAAAATATCTGATTGGTGTTCTAAAGGTGCATGATCATTTATGGTTTTTTAACTTATCATAGATGTTTATTGTTTTTTAAAAATCATATATCTGCTATTGATTAATCTGTCATTTGTATTTGTTGAATCAAGATATTGTATTTGATTTGTGGACACATATTCTACTTCATGTGTGCTTGCAAATCTGGATCAGTAACAATCGTAGATGGACTGAAGGCAACAACACAAACAACAAAATGTCCTCTTTGTTGAGAACTACTAAAGAACTGCGTGAAATTTCCAAACCAGTGAAGTTAATTCCGTGCATCCTAGATTGGTAAGAAACTAAGAACATGATCAATCAATAACTAAACACCTTTATCTTAATCTTTTTATGGTTGGATGTTTTTTTTTTTTTTTTTTTTTTTTTTTTTTTTTTTAATAATTCGAGGTGGTTGCGGGTATGATATGCAAGAGGTAAGTTTTCTATTTATCAGTTAACATTCTAAGTTTTTGTACAGGAAGGTATGAAGGAAAGGTTCTCTACTCCTCTTTTTCTTTTTTCTAAGATTTATTCTAACATAACAATATTGTCCCTACCCAGAGACAACAAAGATGCACCACCTTGGAGAAGAGCATGTCAAAAGAATAGAGGCTGGATACAGCATCATTGGATTTGGTGAGTCTATCAGATAATATATCTCCTAAATGTAGGTTAGTATTTTCCTTGATATAGATAGATATTGAGTTGTCACTTAGTATGTTATTTCACAAGTTGATAGCACAAACAAGACAATGTTTAATCAAAAAAATGCCCTACAATACCACAAGAAACAAGTGTTTTGAGTCTATCAGATAATATATCTCATAATTAAAATCGTAAATACAAAAAATATAACCCCTGTTCCAAATCATCTTCGAGGTTTGACTTTTAACAAAATGGAAATGATGATGCTTTTGTTGTTCTATTGTTTACATGCTACATGTATTGTGTCTGTTTACTTTTTCTTTTGTTCCAAAGTAATCTTTGGCTAATTTAGCGTTGACCTGGCACAAAATGGCTAAAGAGCAAATACCTGAGCATCCTATTTTGAGATCAGTTGTAGATATATTCGGGAAAACTCCTGCAACATTGATCATTTTTGCTATATCTGGCATAATCAAAATCATTCTATAAATTAAATTACTTAGATATGAAGTTTGTTTTGATGTAGGCAAGCCTTTTGAGAGATGAGTATAAAACAGTGAGTAAGTATCAGATGGTTGGATTTGATTTTTGAGAAATAAATTAAGCTGAAAATGTAAGCAACAAAAATAGCAACATGTTCTGTAAATGGCAAATAAGTGATAATTGTAAACTGCATATTCACATAGATACATCCGGATACAAACATCTACACAACATATTTAAATATAGGTATAGTTTTTTACAATAACCATATTAACAAATCAATGGAAGTTAGTTGTTATTTCTTGCCTTTAACTCTAATTTTAGAAATATTAAATACAATATCCTTGGTAAAAACTAAAAAGTAATACCTTCTCAGCTTGTGCTCCGTAAGTAGGTTGACAAAAAAGAATCAGATATAATTGGTTTTTTCTTATTACAACATTATACTTTGAAAATACAATGCTATAATTAGGTGGTTGTCTTCAAACTATGTCTAATTATAGCATTATACTTTCAAAGTACAACGCTTTAATGAAAAAAATGAAATTAAAAAAAATAAGAAATTAAATTGAATAAAAGAAATAAGACTTTTTGAAAGTAGGATATTATATTAACAAATTCATTGAAGTTAGTTGATCTTTCTTGCATTTACCTTATTTTAGAAGTATTAAATATAATATCATTAGTAAAAGTAGTACCTTATGAACTTGTGTTCTATAAGTTGGTTGCGAAAAAAGCCAATAATCATAGGTAGGCTAGGTAAAAACCATCAGATAATGCTATTATTAGTTTTTTTTATATTATTAAAGCATTGTACTTTGAGAACTGAGTAACGGGGCCCATAGATAGCAGGGAACACACAATAATGAAAATGCAAGTAAGATGTTATTTTGTTCTTGGACAAAAGAGAAGTGAGTTGCTATTTTTGTCTTAGAATAAGAAATCAAAGTAAGATGTTATATTAGACAATTAAATGAAAGTACATTTCTATTTCTTGCATTATGATTGGGCTAAATTTAAGGAAAAAGCAATGTAATTTCATTGCTTTGTCTAATATAACATCTTACTTTCACTTTATTTACTCATTCTTTTTTATTTTTTTAAATTTTACTTAAATGTCTAATGTAGCAATCTACTATGCTAGAATTAGGTACATTGCTATTAACCCATTGCACGTTGCCTCATATAGTTTGTCTTTTTTTTTTTTTAGTAATCTATATCTCAACGGAAGAACAAGTCAACAAACTACATATCCAAAACCGAAGGTGTTTTAGTCTTTTTTTTCAACAAAAGAATAAACTATATATCCAAAACAGAAGGTGTTTTAGTCTTCTTTAAATTAAAGAATAAACTATATATAAAAAAACAGAAGGTATCATATATAGAAACATTTGACTGTATATCAAATCTTAATATGATTCTAAACAAAGTAAAAGTTTTATCGTATATTGAGCATTAATAAAAAAAAACTACATATTCCATGCTTCACGATGATCTTCATAATGCATAATTTTCTATATGTTCTCCAAATTATAAGATCTTGAAAACAATTTACCTCTTAAGTTATTATAAGCTAATTTAATTTTAAATTAGTGTGTTAAACTTAAAATATAAAATATTCTTCATTAATAAAATAACGAGTACTTAGAGGGTAACTGTTCCAAAAATTGAGAACCTGAATCAATACCATTCACATTGGTTCTAGCTCAGGATTTGACATTTCCAATACGGTTCCGGTTCCAAAGACGGGTATTGCATCCAATGCAACCTATAAGTAGGACGTTGTCTTCAAGACACAGACATTTAACTTCTAATCATCAATCGATATTAAGTAGTAATTATCCAAGTTAGATTATCCTATATTTGCAAGTATATTGTCAAGAAGGATCTTGTGGTGAACTCTTGAAATCCAACAACAAAGTGAAATTATTATACATTGATAACACAAACACCTAGGGGTGAGCATCGAAACCGGGTACGCGCCTTTGGAACCGAGACCGCCTAGGAATCGGTTCCGGTTTCAGTTCTCAATTTTCAGAACCGTTACTCGTTGGGCGGGCACGCCCGCCCGCCTGTCACGCATGCGCGCACACACACAGGTTGTAAAAAATGCTCAGGGGACCTCAACTGTCGACTGGGGCTAATGTATTAATCGGTCTACGCGGTGATTAATCGGAAATTAATCGAGGACCTTAAATTTTGAAAACATAATATATCCTTAGAAAATAAGTATTTGAACATTTAAAATTTTGAAAATTTAAAATATTTTGTATAATATTTGAACATTTGTATATTTAAAAATTTTAAATTTTGTAAATTTTGTTGTAGTATTTGAAAATTTGTATTTTTTTAAAAATTTTTTTCCCTGCAAGGACCGTCAAGCCTGAATTTAACTAATATTGACTAATATCTACCAAAACACCCTTAATGGTAATCGCCTGTAGACCGTCAATCGATTAATCGGCCGTCAAAGCTGATTTCTGCAACACTAATATATATATATATAACATTTATTGCTAATTTCAACTCAAGTTCAATTTGTATTTATGTTACAGATAATAACTGTACAAACATTAGCAACCATAATATAAACAACTCATAAGAAATCATGATTATTAAAATACATATAACGGCGTTGTGATTCATTTCTGTTGATACCATATTAAAGTCGTAACTCACAATATACGAAAAACCATAAAAAAATGCCTATATTTTAACGAATGGTTTACTATTATTGTCATTGTAACTTTTTAATGATCAACAACCAAGTCTTTATCATTAAAATGGTTATTTTTTTGTCGTTTGTAATGGATAAATTTAATATGCTTCATATTTTGAAAAAATAAAAAATGTAATTGGGTTACTCGATATCGGAACCGTAACCGCCTGGAAACCGGTTCCAAAACTTTAAGAACCGCTTAGACCGGTTCCGGTTCCAACTTTAGAAGAACCGTCGGTTCCGATTCCAGTTCCAGCCTAAATAGACGGATACCCGCCTACGCTCATCCCTACATACACAAACAACCACACTCTCAAAAACACATCCACTTGCTTACACACACAACCACACAAGCATTGACACACACATAGCTGGACTCAAAATGTTATCTTAAATTAGTAAGCAAATGATGAAAGTTGAATCTACCTGCACCGATGGCTTAAAAATCATCAAACTGGGTTTAAAAAACCATAATGTTAACTAGTGAAGAAACCCATGCGAATAACTAGTGAAGAAACCCATGCTTCGCATGGGTCGGAAGGCATTTTTGTTTTCAGACTTTTATGGCAAGTTTATAGAAAGTTGAAAGTACATTGCCATTAAAATCTTTTCAGAAACATGTGATTATTACATCCGCCAATATCCATATATGATGGATTTCATCATTTCTAGGAATGAAAGACAGAATTGAATTCCACTCTCCCAGATCAAATTGTCCTTACAAACCCTATACTTACTAAAGGGTATTTTGCATTTAACAAATTATTCTAACCCTTTATAAATTCCGGAACAGATCAGCTTATAAACATATAAAGATGACTCTATACCAATTATTGTTAAGATATTCAGCAATAGTTCATTTATGTCTGGTTAATAGCTTCTTAAACGTGGCTGCTGCAACCTGAAAAGACATCCAATCTCAGATACATCAAATTTTATTAGGCACCAACCAAAGGTTTTTTTATAGCATTCTACTTTATAAAAATAAACTGATTTTATGAAAATCATTTTAACCGCGTCCAACTTTATAAAATGCTTTTTACAACATCTGCTTTATGAAAATCGTTTTCGAAGTATCATATTTTAAATAGTTTTTTATAACATTAAACTTTATAAAAATAATTGCAATTTACAAAAATTGTTTTTAAAAACACCCAACTTTATAAAAAAAACGTTTTATAGCATCCTACTTACCAGTACTCTCTACCCTCCTTTTTATTGTGGCACACTTGTTTTTGAAAACATCCAAATTTACATTTCCATTTCATTAATTTATTTCCCCGAAATTTATAAAAATTAAAATATTTTTACAACGGCGACACAAACACTCTCTAAAATCTACGCCTAAACTACTCCTTAGTCCTTAATTTCACATATTTCCCTAACATGACTTGAACCATCAATATCAATGAGGGAGGGCATCTCAGCATACCATTAGGTCAAATGTCTTTTGGTTTATAAAAATTAAAATAAATAATTGAAATGGAAATGTAAATTTATTGGAAATAGTAATGGGAAAAAAAGTCAAACCATGCTAAATTGCTTCATGAAATTAGTTATAAGAGGCTTCAAGCCCAGGAAATCTCAAAGGTTAATTATTGATCTGTGTTTCCCTTACCCATGTGCAACAATCTTCAATCTGTGTGTTGATCTTAGTGTGTAAACTGATAAAAAAAGTCAAAGAAGATGAGAAGTCTTCTTCTTTTGTTGCAAATCCAAAAAAAAAAAGGTAAAAAGTGAAATTAAATTGGTAAAAAAGATAAAGGTATAATAGGATACACTACCACATTAAGTTCATCGGTATCTGGACACAATTAAATGCATGTAAAGAATGTGGCAACTACAAGGGAGCAATACGATCACAACCCTTCTTTTGGGGAAATTTCACGCACATAAGAATATTAAATATACCAACTGTGCATTATGTGGGAAATCAATTATAATGGGGTTGGCTAAACGGACACCCTATTTTACCATTTAGACACCCTATATAATTTTTAAGGTATTTTTATTGGTTATAATTACATTGTTTTTTGAAAAAGATGATTAAAAATAGTTACCTATTGGTTGACTTTTGATAAAGATGTCTATAGGGTGTCTTAATAGCATCCTCCTACTTTTCCTCCTAATTATCTTCTACCCACTTTAAATGATGACAAGTGTCTTAAAATATAATTAATTTTATCAAAATATGACACATGTCACCATTTCAAATGGGTAGGAAGAAATGGTAGGAGGATATTTAATTTCTCTATAATAAAATATTAAAAACGTTAAAAGTTCCCAAATTTATTGATTGACAAAAACGCAGAAATCTAGTAATACATATCCTGATGTATAATTACACATAAATAAATGGAAACATGATCTATGCTCTATAGTAAGGCAAGACTCAAGTGACTTGATCTAGTAAAGGAATAAAAACCATAGTAAGGCAAGATCACACATTACTTCATATTAGGTTGTTATGATAATTATTGTTCAATCTAGTAAATAGTAATGACAAGTATCTTTGGTTTTTATTATAAACACAAATGCACAAAATAACCAATTATAATAAGCTCACAACCAATTGTCCTTGGCTTCTATCCACAACATGTTTACACATCTCTTGTAGATGGATCCACACGATTCTCCATATAAATATAAATATAAATGACCCTCCACATGGCTGGATCCTTGTAGGTTTTAAGCCAAGCAGTGCAAACTTTCTAGGCATTGTCAAGTATGTCAAAAACACCAATTTTCTATAGAATATTGGCCATTACATTTGATGGGAGCTCCAACCAATTCATTGGTGCGTAACTTAAACATGTACAAAGCAGAATTAGTTTTAGTGTTTACAAACTGGATTTCAAATATAGATATAGTGGGAATTTTATAAACACAAACGGAAAAAAAATGATTTAGCAATTGTGCCCAATATCCACTTTGGAAAATATGCTTCAATACTCTTCATGCAAAGAAGTAAAATACAAGGAACGATGAATGAGGAATAATCGAGAATCAAAATAGGTCAAAATGAAAATTTCAAAAACCCTAGAAGCAGTGAACATGGAAAAATGAAGAAATCGTCGATTGAAAGTTGTAAGTAATTAGGAGATGTTGAGTAAAAGATAAACGTACATCACGGTGAAGAAGAGAATGGTAGCTCTGATTTCCAAAAATCGTTCCAGCTGGCGAGGAATTGAAGATTGAAGCCGGCTACAATAATCATGCTCGTCTGTTGTGGCGGATAGGGAATCCGAATCGACGCATCTTCTATGGCGGAGGCAGACTCACCGACGGAGGCGGTGTCGCCAGAGATGGCTGTGGCTAAAACAGAAGAAGAAGAGTTGAAATCGGCAACGGTGATGTCTTCCGGTAAAGAGGCGGTGGAGTCGATTTTCAGCAAAACGAAGGTCGTGAAGACCGGCGGAAGGGCGTCGGCAGGTGGAAGGAAAACGGCGGGTGGCGGACGGTGAATCTGTGTCCACGAAACTGATGACGGGAAATTGCAATGGGTGGTGACGAAGAAGAAGGGAGAGGCGGTGGGATTAAAAAGTTGAGGCGGCAGTCATTGAAAAGCCAATCAGTGGATGACCCTCCCACCAGCAGCCGGCTAAAAATAATAGCCAATTATTCCTCGGCTTCAAACTAGCGAGCAAAGTTAAAAATGGTTTGACTTGACTAAAAGCTTGGTACTCTAAATAAGCATCCTTGAGATTTATTGTATATATTTGGCATACCAATGTTAGCCACATGAATCTACCTTGCATTAATCACAAAAGTAATTAGAAAATAGATAGGAAATTCTCATTCTGATACAAATTTTAATAATTTTATGTTTTTCTAGAAAGTAAAAAGAAACCGAGTAATAAAATTAAGGTGAAGCCAAAACTTATTACTTCTTACTAAACTTGAACATCAAACTTGAATCAAGTTAATCATTTTATATTCTAATGCATATGCTTGATGCTGAATTTTCCAAAAGCACCTCAATCAAACACCAAAAATCAACAATTCTCAAAATCTTCTTAGAAAAAAAAAACAATGTGTGAATAACCATGCAAACGTGTTTGATACTTTTGATGTTATTTATCACCTAATCAATGTACCCGTTAACCACACACGCTCCATTGATCTATGAAAAACATCAAACTACCCTTTTCCACCCTTGTTAGTCCAAGTTAGTGTGCCGGTAAACCACACACGCTCCACTAAAGACTTGACAATGTGCAAAGTGCAATTTCATGGAATAGCACCATTTTCACATTTTTCCTAAAGTAACCAAGATTGAGAATTTTATGAAAAGTGTTTAGTTACTTCTTATAATTATCATTATACTTTTAAATGAGAATTAATGTCCTATCCTACCCGTTCGGATAACGACCCTCCACTAGTCAAGGAAGTAGTGGGTAAGAGTGGACACCCATTTAATCGCCATTTTATAGGCAATTTACTTATACCCCCCTTATAGACTAGCTTCGTGAATGAAACCTACTAACGCTAAGACTGATTGTCTTATACATGTATATAAGTATTAAGCTTTTAATGTTATAATAGTATAAGGGTTGAATTTTACACTTTTAAAACTCTAGGGTTTAGAATTTAAATATTTCAAAAATTAAAACCCTTTAATCAACCTTTTAAATTCCAAAACTTGAGGGCAAGTTTTAAAACTTTTAAAAACTCTTGGGTCAATTTGAAAACAATTAAATTAATCATATAATTAACTATATCACAAAATTGACCTAATCTATTTTAATATAGCAAGATGATTCAAGTCAATTCTACAAATAATTAGTTTTTTCACAAAATCAAGTAATTATCTTAAAATTTGACAATCATCATATAATTGGATGAGGATAATCATTACCTTATAAGAAAAATCGAATTTTAACATTCAAAACAGTTTGTGGTAATGATCATAATCCAAAACTGGCTAAATACTCGAAAATCTGCAAACAGAGGATCCCACTCGTCGAGTTCATGGCATGGACTCGACGAGTTCATCACATATGATCCAACTTGTCGAGTTCCCTCTTGAGACTTGACGAGTCCAACAGTCAGTGGCCAAAAATGTCATTTTTTAGCTTTGAAAATCAAACAATTGCACCAATATAACAGAAAACATCCTAGGCTCTGATACCACTGAAGGGTTTTGAGCACTATAACAATCCTATGGTGCACATACAACCCTAGAT